CCAGCCTTTTTGACACTGTCTTGTATAACTTTTAAATTATCAATGACAGCCTGTGGCCTGTCATATGGATCACTGTTGTCAACAAACAAGAATATTTCATACAAATCATCTGAAAAGTAAGTTTAGTCTATAATAATGGACAGAATTTAAGATATACAGTTTTTCAATAGCAACAAAAGGATGGGTATCCCTAACAAGCTAGGGTATTATCTTTATATTTTTTTCTTTCTCTCTCATGAAACAAAACAAACAGGAATAAGAGAAAGAGGATGAGTTGGAGAACAAGTTAGATTAGAAAGAGGAAGAAGAGGAGGAGAAGGAAGGAGGAATGGAGAGATGAAGAAGAGGAAGAGGAAGAGGAAGAGGAACAGGAACAGGAACAGGAGGAGGAGGAGGAGGAGGAGGAGGAGGAAGAGGTGGAGAAAGAGGGGGAAGAAGATGAAAATGAGGATGAGGAGGAAAAGATGAGGATGAGGATTAGGAGGAAGATGAGGATAAGGATGAGGAGGAGCAGGAAAAAGAAGAAGGAAGGGACAGTGAAGGGACTACAGGGGGGAGGATTAAAACAGAAGGAAGGAAAAAAGGACCAAAGCAGCGGCAGGGGCACTAACCAAGATCTTTTTCAAGAACATCTGCTAATTCCTGTACAGTCATATTCTTCCAAACCCCGACTACAGGATTCTTTTCTTTCTTCAGACCTTTAGGGTTGAGGGATACTGAACTCTGAAATAAATCGTGGAATTTTAGAAACCATACCCGCAGACGCTATGGATATATATCTGTATGTGTGTGTGTGTGTGTGTGTGTGTGTGTGTGTGTGTGTGTGTGTGTGTGTGTGTGTGTGTGTGTGTGTGTGTGTGTGTGTGTGTGTGTGTGTGTGTGTGTGTGTGTGTGTGTGTGTGTGTGTGTGTGTGTGTGGTGTGTGTGTGTGAGTGTGTGTTAAGTGTGTGTGTATAAGTGTGTGTGTATAAGTGTGTGTGTATAAGTGTGTGTGTGTGTATAAGTGTGTGTGTGTATTGTGTGTGTGTGTGTGTGTGTGTGTGTGTGTGTGTGTGTGGTGTGTGTGTGTGTGTGTGTGTGTGTGTGTGTGTGTGTGTGTGTGTGTGTGTGTGTGTGTGTGTGTGTGTGTGCGTGCGTGCGTGCGTGCGTGCGGTGCGTGCGTGCGTGCGTGAGTGCGTGCGTGTGTGCGTGCGTGCGTGTGTGCGTGCATGCGCGTGCGTGTGTGTGTGTGCGTGTGTGTGTACATATATATATGTATATATATATATATATATATATATATATAATATATATATATATATAGATAGATAGATATAGATATATATATGAATGAGTGCAATAAATCAAGCATTATATGAAATAAATGCTAAAAATATGTATGCTGACATTAATTACCATGAAAGAAGTTTTGTACTAAAATACATAAATCAACACAATACATACTTAGGCATTTTCTTGGCATCTGCTACATCTTACCTTCTCATCCTTAGATTTCCTCTTCTTAAAGGCAATAACAGAAGTGGACAGAGAGGCTCTCTCACGTGGGCCACATGTGAGGCTCTGTGAGGCTCCTGGACCATAACAAAGAGAATCCAACATCGGGCGAATATTGCAGGGTTTGGGAATTGAAGGATAACCCACAGCACCAACTTGCAGCCATTTTCTTAGCAAAGAAGTTCTCCTAAGTGATAACAGAATATCTTCAGTGCATCCATACTAAATATGTCCTATCATGGAATTGCTTATTCAAACTGAGAGTTAATTCAGATATTCCATCAACAAATTGATTTCATAATATGTTAGTGAATAAATGATGCTACACTATGCAAAGATTTTCCTACACTAAAAAATCATAAAAAAGAACCTATAATATAACTGCATACACAGTGAAAAAAAAGGGGAAGAGCAATCATACCGACTTATCTCTTTATTCGTATGTAAGCTTTCTCCTCTGTTTCATATCACAAAAAATCAATAATGATTTATATTAAGAGAAAAAAAAGGTAATTGTAACTGAGAGCAACACACCCTCAAGAGACTACGTCCCAAAACCACCCAACTTAACCATTACTACCTTCTACTTATTCCCTGGACAGGAATATATATATATTCAATAATGATAATGATAAAAACTGTACTCCCTTTTATTAGCACTTCGTGCCAACGTCCATTAAAAACTCTGGGTGTGTATGGGTATTGTGGACTGTCGCTGATATACAATGATATGCAGCAAACATTTTCGTCCTTTCCCAGTGCATATAAGTTTAAACTATAATACTTCTGACTCTAATCTTTATGCTCTATGTGATGGCGGTGTCCATTTTCCTCTATCTCCATGTGTTGCTCTTGGTACCATACAAATAAATAATTGTAGGGATGGATGACTGTGAAAATACCACTTTATTTTGCCAAAATTTTCATAATGGATATTTGTCATGGCATAGGCAAGAAAAAACATTTATGGTTATTATAGCTACTTTTGAAAGTATTGTTTAACATACTATTAGCAAGAATTCCGCAGTTGTTCTGTTGTCAAATCATATTTTCATACTTAACATCTTTCTTTTAAAATAACGATAGGGAAAAACAATACTGCTGTACAATATCCAATCTTTGAAGACATTAGAAAAACCTCCGCAAGCATAACATTCTCTTATTTGGAGACTACAGCCTAGCATGTAGGATGAAGAGTCATATTCGTAAAATCTGATAATCAGAAGCAATTGTGTTTTACCTCAACATACTTCAAGACGTAAAATATTCAGTGCTTTCTAACCCCGCATCTTTATATCAAGTGTTCGTAACCCTGCGTGAGGTAGATATTAAGCCAACAGAAAACTAAATTTAAAGATTATGATTTAAAAATTACCCTTTTGATGATAATAATAACAATATCTATAAAACATTAATTATTTATCCATTGCCTTTATCAGTCTAGAAGGACCATAATTGGACATATCTCTTCTTGCAGACAAGGTTTCGAACACAAAATCACGATGTAAACAAACGCGTATTATGCAGAAGGGTTATGCATTCGAAGTGAAAGAAAACGAAAAACATTCAAACTCTTAATGATAATGATTAATGGGGATGATGACAATGATGATTGACAAAAAATAATGATAATGATATTAATAATAATGATAACTATCAAAATAACTATAATAATAATAATAATAATAATAATAATAATAATAATAATAATAATAATAATAATAATAATGATAATAATAATAATAATAATAATAATAATAATAATAATAATAATAATAATAATAATAATAATAATAATAATAATAATAATAATAATAATAATAATAACAATAATAATAATAATATGATGATATAATAATAATAATAATAATAATAATAATAATAATAATAATAATAATAATAATAATAATAATAATAATAATAATAATGATAATAATAATAATGATGATAATAATAATAATAATAATAATAATAATAATAATAATAATAATAATAATAATAATAATAATAATAATAATGATAATGACAATAACAACAACAACAACAACAATAATGATAACTATAATAATATAATAATAATAATAATAATAATAATAATAATAATAATAATAATAATAATAATAATAATGATAATAATAATGATAATGATAATAAATGATATGATAATAATAATAATAAATAATAATAATAATAATAAATAATAATAATAATAATAATAATAATAACAATAATAATAATAAATAATAAAATATAATAATAATAATAATAATAATAATAATAATAATAATAATAATAATAATAATTATTATTATAATAATAATAATAATAATAATAATGATAAGATAAGAAAATGATATCAATAACAAGAATAGTAATAATGATAATCATGATGATAATGATAATGATAACAAAAATAATGATTATGATAGTAGTAATACTAATAACAGTAATAATGATAATAATGATGATAATAATGATAATAAAAATAATAATGGTAATAAACATAACAATAATGATAATAATAACATTAATAATAATAACATAAATAATAACAGTAATAATAATTATAGTAACAATAATGATGATGGTAACCATAAAACTAATAATGACAATAAAAATGAAATGAAAATAATAATGGTGATAATAATGTTTATGATAATGATAAAAATGGTAATAATAATAATAACAATAATGATGTCAATAATAAAAATAAAAATGATAATAATAACAATGATGATAAAAATAATAACAATAGTATAATAATAGTAATAATAACCATAACGATAGTAATAATAAGGATAATAATAATAATAATAATAATAATAATAATAATAATAATAATAATAATAATAATAATAATAATAATAATAATAATAATAATAATAATAATAATGATAATAATAATAATAATAACAATAAAATTAATAATATGACTGTGCTAATAACAAAAATGAAGATAGTGATAATAATACCAACAACAATAATAATAATATAAATGATAATAATGAAAATAACAACAGCAACGATGATGATAGTAGTGATGATAACAATAACAACGATTATTTATAATGATATTGATAATGATAATAACAACATCGATAATAATAACGATAATAATATTGATGATGATGACTATGATAATAATGAAAAATAATACCAGTAATAATAATAATACTGATAATAATAATAATAACAATAATGATATAAATGATAACATAGTAAAGGTAACGATAATGATAATGATAATAATGATGAAAAAAATAATGATGATAATAATGATAGTAATAATTGTAATAATGATAATAATAGTAATAATGATTTTAACAATGACAATAATGATGATAATATCAATAACAATAATAATAGTACTAATAGTAGTAATAAGAAAGATGCTAATAATTATCAGAAGCACTCGGAGAGCGCATACCTCCGGCAAGGCAAGAAGGGTAACACGCAATCGCCTCACAAATCCCTGGATCCAGATCATGATTCGGATCGCCACCAGAAGGATGGCATCCAAATTGGCCTGTCACATCTCTGGTAAAAAAAAAGAGAAAAAAAAAAAAAAAAAAAATAATCTGTCCATATTTTTTTGTTATCCTGTTAACTAACCAACGAACATATTAACAAACTAGCTAATCAACACTACCAAAAAACATAACCTCCTTGATAGAGGTAATAATAGTAGTGATAATGATAATCCTAATGATAATAACAATGATGTTAATAATATGAATAACTAGAAGCACTTAGAGATCGCATACCTCCTCCAAGGCAATAGGGTTCCTGATGCAGTAAAATATTCACACGAAGAATTACAAGAATAATAATATTAATTATCTAGGCGATAAAAGTTTACACTGCCAAAATCTAATGGCATCTAAGTTGGGCTAAGACACATCTCCGGTAAAAAAATCATAATAATATACCTCAGGTTATCTGATTTGGGGTTTGATCTGCTTTCCATAAGTCCCGAATGCTCACGGGGATTGTGTGTAAAATCTCTCTATACTTACTCAGGTATGAGTAAAATCCATGGTGCCAGATGGCGCCTGGTTACACCATACTTTTGTTGAGTGGTGGAGTAATGGATAGAGCGGCCGCCTTACGATCTGGCGGCGCGGGATCGATCCTCGAACAGAGAGGTTATATATTCAAACTATAATTTTTTGAGCAATCCTGCTAACCAACAAACCAACGGTTCCAAAAACTAACCTCCTTGGCAGAGGTAATAATAATAATAATAATGCCTATAAATATGATTGATGATGATAATAACAAAAAATTATCATAACAACAACAATAATAAAAATAATATAACCATAACAATTATACTAACAACGATAAGGGTAATGATAAGTGTAGTGTACGGCTGCGTACGTCCCGACTCGAAGGATGATATCATCTCCAGTTGAAGTCGCCAAGCTAAAATAGCTATTTTTTTTTTTTTTTAATCTAATTATTGTTGATATTTTTTGGCTGAAGTGCACAGTTTTTAAGGCAACTGTTTATTATCGGATTTTCTCCGTATCCTTTCCTGTATTTATTTTTTTCTAATGTTCTTTCCTTTTGTCGACGTCTCCAAATTCCCGCGATAACCACCGAAGGAGGTGACGGTCGTTACCCAGCTTCTTTTTTGTTTTTCCCCTTCCCTCTCTCGTCTCGGTTGTTTGGGTTGTCGAACTATCGGCTTGGTCTTCAGGCACTTCTTTTGCCTATATTCTTCTTTCGCGCCATGCCTGGGGCTTGGCCTGGGGGTTTCTTTCGGGGTATAAGTACTCGTGGTAGGGGGAAGGAAGATAACTTCGGTCCTGACCTCTGTCCCGCACTTTGGTCCTTCGCGGTTACAATTTTACCTGTGTTGTGCTCTCGCTCGGATTTACCCTTGGATATACTTCGCGCACGGATTTACCAGGATTACTGAGTATCTCCTCAAAGCTAAGTGGTTGCTGGTTGTGTGTAGGAGACGACTGGTCTCTTTTGGACTTTAGCGTGACATGCTGCATTATTATCTGCAGGGTACACTCTTATGTGTATTTCCAAGTGTTTGAGAGCATTAGGACCAAGTGATATAGAGGAGCACTGCTTGAGGATCCGTACCTCCAGTGTATTAAATTCAACACTAAGTTATCACTTAGTTTCTTTTCATTCCTGCCTGAGGATCCGTACCTCCTGGAATAAAGATCTTTTTAAGTACATTTACGTACTTTATCGTCGATTTGTTTTGTTTCGCTTAATGCGTGTTTGTTGATTTCTACTTGATCGCGTGGGTGATCAAGCAGTCTCTGTGATTACACCTCCAGTGTGATTTCCCTTTTTACAACTAAGTTATTACTTAGTTTTATTTCGTTCGTACTTGAGGAGTCATACCTCCTGTACATATATTTTTTAAAAGTTAATGTTAATGTTTCCTTTCGTCCCTGCTTGAGGATCCGTACCTCCGGGGATAAAGATCGTTAGCAGGATCTTTTTTTTTTTTATATATTTTGTTTGATATATGTTTCTGTTGATTTCTGCCTGACCTTGTGGGTGATCAGGCAGACTTTGGTGATCCGTATCTCCTGATAAAGAGCCCTTATCACATGATACGTGATTTTTTGTTGTTTTCGTTTGTTGTTTCGGCTGATTCCTGTCTGACCTTGTGGGTGTTCAGGCAGTCTTCGTGACTAGTCCCTTCATTGACTTTGCCAGTTCAGCCTTCTTATGACTTATTGCTTAATTCTTTTGTTCACTGTTTACACAAGTACTCTTACTAAGTATCCGTCAGCATTAGCTTTGCTTTAACAGTTAACCTCCATTTGGGTTGGATGTTAACAGTTTAACGTAATTTAGGGACTTTGATGTTTTTATGCTGACCCCCTAGTAACAGTACTTCTGGAGTTGGGACGCCAACTTGGGGAAGACATTTTTTATATCGTGGTAAGTTTATCTGGTGTTAATTTCTCGTGCATCACCGCCGCTGTGATAAATTGGTGATGCACACACCTTTGTCTACTTTTCATGACTGAAAAATGCCTGTAATTCCCTAGTGAGTGTAACTTGCTCTCTAAATAAACATCGTACCATCTTAGAGCTTTTACTCAACTCCAGTCAGAATAATTTATACCATCACTAAAGTTCTGGTTCTGACCAAGGTTAGATGCCTAAATCTTTCTCGGACTCGGGTCTCCTAAACAGCACATTGCTGGTTGCTCTGATATCTCGCAACCCTTGAAAGGCTGTAAAAAGGCTAGTCAAATCAGAGAATATTAAGCTGATATTCAAAGAACAGATTAATTTTTGCTATACCTGGGTTCCCGCTCCCAGCAGGCGGATGCTCAAACCGAAGGGAAGAAGAAGAATTCTATGATCTTGCTTTTTTTCTTCCAAACACGTCCACGCAGACGCTCAGCCTACGCTATCTCCCTTTTCACATCTACACACACATCCAACATTCAGCACACACATTCTGTACTTTCTTTCCACCCTTCTCTGATACAACACCCACACCCACTTACACGACATACACAGTTCCCGAACTTACTAATCGGGTGGTGGCAGCGTGCCGTAGGCCTGGAACCTTACATCTGTTCACTGCAGACGAATCTTTCCTTGAGCAAAGAACTCAATATTCTCGGTTGAGCCAGGACTCAACCAGACCACTTAAAGTCTATTGGGTCTATGCCCCGCTACAATAAGTATCATTATTATTATAATGGCGACAATATCAACGATAATAATTACGATAATAATAATAATAATAATAATAATGGTGATGAACATAATGATAATAATGACGATTATAATGATAGTAATGATAATGATAATAATAACATCGAAAATAACAATAATCATTATATTTTTTATCATTATTATAAATAATTCTATTATTGCTTCTATGATTATCAAAATCATGCTTATTATTATCATCATTGTCATTACCATTATTATTATTACTATTATTTTCATTGTGATGATGATAAGGGAACAAATATTTGAGCAAATCCGGCACTCCACACACCCAGACCCACTCGTACCGGTGATGCTCGGGACCAGTTACCGCCGCCACCGCAAAAGATGCGAATGTCCCCGTAGAGCTAGGATTTCGGCGTCGATTGGAATTTGTAACCAATTATTACATGTATATCATGGTGCAAGAATTTAAGCAAATACAAGTAGTATAATTACAAAATATGACCAGTGCAGACGTTGTTATGGTTAATAAATAAGTTACAGACATCATAATCCAAAGTCGAGGCTCCATCACCGCGTTCGTATGGTTTGCGGTAATGGTGGTAAGATTGCTCTTGACTGGCGAAGACATCGGTGTGAACATAAGAAATTGGGAGAATTGCTGCCATTAGATGTGAATGTAGAGGTTGGAAGCACGGCCGCCCTCAGATGTGAACGAAAGACCACCGCTTAACATCAGATATGAACAAGAGGGTGGCCTGAGTGGAGGTGAAAGAACGGTTCTTGGCTTCTGGGTTTATTACTAAAGGGAGATGTGAAACCCCCCTAAGACTCTCGTCTTCCCGGGTGCCGAGGGCGGAGTGACGAGACTGACCCGTGTGCCATCGTCTGCCTGTCGTCTCTCTCCGTGTCTGATGAGATATGTCCTTTTGTGTGGCAGTTCCCTTCGAGGAACTTTCTTCCATTCGCTGGAACGGCAGGTTTATTCGGCTGTGGTAAAGGGGGTGAGTTCGCACCGCTTCCTCTGGTGATGTAGACCCAGGAGGACTTCGACAGGAAGGTACAGTTTTGGTTTCAGACAAGGGCAAGAAGTGTGGAATGATATTGTTTACAATTTGAACCAGTGGGCCAAGATAAAAGAAAAGAAAAATTCACCATCTTGTGATCACATGTGTCACACAACTTTTGCCGAAGCAAATATTCAAAATGGTCTCAATGTAGTTCTCTAAGATAAATTGATATAGTTTCAGATGCGTATTTCTATCAGAATTCATAATGAATGCCTGAAAAGGAATGTAAAACACGTGAATAATCATTTAGCTCAGGGTTTCCCAACCAGGGGGCTCGCATCCCCTGTGGGCGTAAGATACACATATACATACAGTGGAATAGGAAGAAAGGAATCATTGAATTTAAAATTTATTTACATAAACGTTTTAAACTTAGTTCTTTGATTTTTACATGTAAATATTTCAAGCAAGTGATTATGTTTTGTAGGGTTTATTCAAATAATCTGGGACATGTTTTCTTGTCCATATGTTTGATTTTTATTTATATAGAAAAATAAATAGAACATTATCTTTTGTTGATCAAATTTAGTATAAATTCACCTCCCTTTTCCTTTAATAAGCTATAAATTTAAAGGGGGTGCGATTTTCTTGGGTGTGCGGGCGTAAAAGGTTGGGAACCACTGATTTAGCTGGACCCTTGAAGTGTATACGGAGTTGTTTCAGATGATTTGCTTCCACCCAGTTTGATCAATGTCAACCCGTCTATAAATTTGTATTACAATTCCGTCAATAACTTTGAGTGATCCTTTGCAAACGCAGAACCATACTCCCTTTGCTAGAGGTAGAAATAGTAACTAGACTTGTTATCTATTTATTACTATTATTAATAATTTACTGCAGGTTTCGGTTTAGGCAGATTGGAATCCGGAGTACAGACGTATCATTTCCCATGTCCTTGCGCAATTTGCTTCCAATGCCTGAATTTATATATTACTATTATTATTCATTTTACCCCAAGTTTCGTTGAAAAATGGGAGTATGGAATCTACAGAACATGCCGGTCACTTATCTTGTGCTTGTGCCTTTTGTTTTCAACGGATGAAACAAACAAATTAGTATTCTATCGAACAAGATATTAATACTTTCTTTCTACTTTAAACGAATAAAGCCTTTCCCAAGTTGGAGATTTCTTTTTATCTTCAAAGTTTGATCGCGACAATAGTCAGTAAATTTCACGTTTTAACTCTCTCCCAGCTGTGGAATGGCGTAACAGTACAGTTCTCCAGGTGCGGAATAGCGTTACGTCAGACTATTGTGTCACTTCACCTGTGTGTGTTCAAGTGTTCTCTTCTGCTCCCACTACACAGGGGAATCAGTGTGTGGCCACCCCTTGGTGTATGGTGGAGATAGAACGGCTACCAACCTCATCATGGCCCTCGCTCTCCTGCCCCTGCTCTTCTCAGTGGTTAGTGTCTCGGCATGAGAACTGAAGTCGCAGATGCCCTTTTCCTTGTGGTTATTAGGGTCAGGATGGTTCTTCGGACGACCATGGG